ATTGACCACACCCAGTAATAGTTAATAAACTACAATAATAGTTAATAAACTATGATAAAAAGCGATTACTCAAACTATCATTAGTTTTTTGTTCAAAAATGGCCTCATATCTTCATATTTTGGCTTGATCCAGGTTCTTCTGACAGACAGCAACCATCCTGCCTTCGTATAGCTGCTTACAAGGTTGTTTTAAAATTAAATTGACCTAATTAACCACTGTTTATATAACTATTATTCTGGTTATGTGGGTGTGGTTATCATATCAAAATCTGAGCTTCAAAATTTCGATAACGATATTTATCGATATTGCCGATTATCGATAAAAATATCGGTTGATTCGATATATCGCCCATCACTACACTCTGGGTGGTCTATAATTACCTCTTTTCTCCCAGAAGTGACTAACATGTCCTCCCCAGCTCTTTACTTCACCGCTCTTCTGACAATTCTATAACACAGACTTAGCACACTCATCTCAAACAAACAATGCTAAAACTGATACCTCTAAGATACGATATCAATTCTTCATATCCAGCTGCCAGGGAGGTACATAGTGCTTGGGTATCATTGGATGATAAGAAGAGAACCTCTCCGGAGCAGTTATCGGAGAAACATGATTCAAGACTTTCCGGCGGCTTATGAGGTCCCTGCTCATAAAAATCAGGAGACAAGGAAGACTTTTTAATGGCCCGGAGTCTTTGAGAAGTATTCCTTGTTACTGAGCCATCTTGTCTTCCCTGCTACTCTCTATTGTATAACTGCTTTTATTTGAAGATGTTGTTTCTCTTGTTTCAGTCCTTGACTGATTGGGTAAGCTCTTTCTACTACTGCTACTGTTCCTGGTAGCTGCATGCATGGTGCTAATATCCATGTCCATGTGCTACAAAAGACAAACGGGCCCATTTTGACTTAAACCACTACTCCTAGAGGAGCTAGAGATAATGAGAGATGAAGAGAGAGATAGGGAGAAGAAAAATAGGAGGAGAAAGAGAGAGGGTGGTATTTCTTACCAGTTTGTGATAGACATGGTGTAGTAAGGACTAAGGAGGAGCAGTGTTAGCACGGCTATCCACTCCAGGCAGCCATTGGTACAGGCTATGGTACAGGTACTAGTAGAACTCAGTTGTAAGGCTCAGACTTATAATAAACTAAAGAATTTGCTTACTACAGTGGAGTAAGGACACAGCTAAAGCTCTCACAGTCACTTTGTACATACAACTTTATAAGGTTGTATATATAAAGTGACTTGTGAGAGCTTTAGCTGCATGTGTGCTATGAGCATTGCTTACTGCATTTTTACAACACTGCTATATTGTTTGCTTTAAAAACTTGTGATCAGCTGAAATTATAATAGCATATACAGACAAAATGCAAGCCAAAATCATAAGTTAGAACCACAATCACTAGACTCTATATTGTAACAATCACTCAGTATTATAGTTAGATCCAAAACTACAAAAAACAAAAGTCCACAGTGACAGTTTGACACACTAACGCTATTCATCTTGTAAATGCTTGGGAAACAAGTAAATTCCAAATTGATTGGCTAGAGATAAAAGATGAACTTTCTGCTTCTTCAGATTATCAATTAAATCAGAATGACACTGTACCATTTCCTTATTATATTTAGCTTGTTTCCTCCACTACATCAACTATAACTTTAAAATATTTAATGACTGTTTTTACTTACTTCTTGAACTTGAGCATCCATTGCTTTTCTCTGTTCAAAATAATGTTGCTCCACGTCAGCTATGTTTTTCTCAACAATTTCTCTGTGCTGTTTTAAGTAGCTCTATTTTTAGGAGGAATAATGCATTAAATTATTATAATAATTTATCACCTCAGCAATCATTGGCTTAATTTTTTGAAAATACTTTTGACAGTCATCTACAAAAACTTCTTTTAGTTTATCAAGGAAATGATCAATTTCTGTATTATACAGCGGTCGTCTTGAATCAAAATTCATAAATCTTTTGAAAACTCTAAAATTATTTTATTAATGTTTAAATACTCACTGTTTAATATGAATTACAAACCTATCCCAAAACTATAATGCCTATACCTTAAAGTGCTTGTTAAAGTTTTAATTCCAATAGATTGTGCATGCAAGCAAGGTAATTCTTAAAATTTAATTCTTACTGTAAAATGCTTTGTGCTGGTAAATCTCTTAACTTAAGTGGTGCTGAACTACATTAACAGCAACAAAAATCAAGTAAGAATAAAAATGATCATACCTGACAACTGGTATTCTGCTATGACTAATACTTTCAATAACAATGTCATTTTCATCATTTTCAAGTAAAAAAAGCTCCGCTATACATATAATATTTATTAACTCAGGCTATACATTAAAAAACTTGTCATACTGGTTTTTTTTGCAGAAGTAGTTGTATTGCAGTATAAGGACAGTGACTGTTCCAATTTTTGTCTAATAGAGCCTACTTCAAATCTTGATTTCATAACAACTCTGTGCATTCTTATAAAAGGCAGACATTTTAGATCATCCTTCAATGACTCATCTCCAGTTTCAATTAATTGTTCAACCTCTATAAAATCAAACACATGCTGTATATTCAGCAATTAGAATACAAAATTTGACGTTTTCTATGATGACTATATCACAAAACAGCTAAAATTTAGACAAAATTCAATTCTGCAAATTAGCAGAAGTGATATTCTCTAACACTAATCTCCACATAAACCCTCACCGGCCACTACAGCAAATATTTCTGAATCAATACAGGATGTGTTAGGCTGGATCATGACTTAAAATCCAGCCTGACACACCCTGTATTATGAATTTTGGGCAGCTTGCACAGCAATCAGCCTAGCATGATATAATCATGTATGATGATCATCCATCATACAAACATGTTGGAGTATGGCCTTGGTTTAGCCAGAGCAACAGACATGATATTCAACACTGATTGATGTCATGGGGCTGTATCAAATGCATCCTATACATGTTTTGCAAGGGGCTGGTTACCAGACTAGACTGACTAGTATCACAATAGGAATCAGACTTGATTCATTGATTTCAGTTGGGTATTAGGGATGGTTATGTAGTACATGAAAATGACACCACATTACTTATAAATGCATTGAACTGACAAACCTGAGTTAAACTCTTCAGTGGTGATGCTTCCCATTTTTTTAATTTTTGATTGTAAAAATGTAAAATGTAATTTGAGTATCTTACTAATTTTATCATGATTCACCTAAATAAACCATTAAAAACAATATTTTATTTCAATAATATAAATGTTCATAATATTAAAAATTATTATAATTATTGTTTAAAGCAATAATTAATTTTGTAGCATGGTCACCTTGCAAACTATTCAAATTAGCTGTCAAAAAATCAAAAATTGGCAAACCACAAAATATTAAACCCATAAAAATAACCTGTTACACTTAGGCATTACAAAATTAATGTATTAACAGATGGTACCATTAAATCCTCATTATAAGCAGTTTCCAATTCTGTACAAAATTCTGACTCATTTGTATACTTGGATCTTATACTCTTCACTAATTTTTTGAACGTTTCTATGATATCCTTTTTCTCCTTTACAGTATCATGAAACTCTATTAAAATTTACATTACAGTAGAACTAGAAAATATATACTGTACAAGATGGTTTATTGGCGAGGAATTAATATCGGTGATTGGCAGTTCAATGAAGAAATCGCCAATATAAAATCCACCATTTTGTTTTAATCTGAGCATGCTCAATGGCACATGACACAAAATCGTCAATATAAAATTTGCCAATTAACTTCCACAGGCAAATTCCCCAAATAATTATTACTCTTGCCAATAAATCATCTTGTATGCAATACTGACTTTTTCCAGTTCTCCTAAATTCTTCCCTAGTTTCATCCAATTTTCTTATAGCTTGGTCCAAGTATCTAGTGCAATCCCTTACAATATTGTAGTGCCATAAATAATGAGAATTACCAGCAACTTCAATAAGTCTGACACAAAAATCAACAATAATTCATGGCAATTAACTTACTTTTCTTCCAATAATGATATTTGACTAACTTTTTCTATCTCTTCTGCAGTTGATACATCCAACTCTAACATCAGCTTTCTCATTTCTCTACTCCTCTTTCCTCCTAGTTTCTCTTTCCTTGCCTTAAGAGCTCCAATAGCACACAAAGGGATAATGCAATCATCTGGAATAGGCACACCTAAACACCTGCACTGTCGCTGGATGACCTCCTTTATGCTATCAATACGCTTAGGGATTTCTTCATCATTGCCAGAACTTGAATCATGATCCTCACTGTCTGAATCTGAGGTTTTTATACTAAACTCATTAAGCCTTGTTACAGCAATGAGGATTCGCCTTTCTTCAAATGCATCTAAACGAAAGGATCATAGTTAGACAAAATGGTAGTTTATATTTATATTGTACTGTACAGCTGTATAGAACTAAATTTTGTGAGTTTGCAGATGAATCAAAAGCACAAAATTCAAATCTGCAAAATAATTCATGCGTGACCACAGTACATTATGCTATACAATAACTGTCAAAACTGCAAAAATTGAACTCGCAAACCAAGTTTTTTAAGGATCTGCAATGTGTTTCCTCGAAAATTATGCAGCTGTACAGTATATCATAAGTGTCTTAATTTTCAAGGTGATAAATTTTCATGTTTTTATGGAAAGATTTATTTTTCTTGTATTTTGTGATGGATGTAGTCTGGCCATAAGATATAATGGAGACATGATACATTGAACTATGGTGAGAACTCAAGAGAGAACTTCTAACAGCGTCATGATAAACACACTTTAGCAAGTTCAAAAGTACATGTATACTAAGATAGAATGCAGTTAGCATGTCCAAATGTATGGGTGTGGTAAAAATTAAATTTAATGGATATATTTTGGATTATGAAATTAGCAACAACTAATATACTTTCAAAATTACAATGCATAGGGTTGATAATTACAATTATACAATAGCTTACACAATTATCTGATTAACTAAATAATTGTATCATTCAAACTTCCCCATCTGCCAGTTATACACACAGTCACTTACTTGGATCCCTGAAAACAATAGCTCTCAGTGAGTCAGTATCAATAGAATCCTCCAATTGTTGGGATGATATTACATAAACATATACAGCACAGGTCATCAATTGATACTCTGATACTTCAAAAATCCCTAAATCATTTGATTCAGACAAACCAGGTGTATCTAACAGCACAATATTGATATCACCAGTGGAACAACAACATAGGAAGGGAATGTGTGCTTCTAATTCATCAACACTAATTGTCTGCAAAAAATAAGAGTTTTACACCTTAGGAATACTCATACTCACTGCAGCCTTTTCTCTAACGTCAACATTCCTTTTGCGAATTTCTTTTTGAATAACCCGACGACCCTTAATTTCTCTTTTTTTCATTGATAGAAGTTGCTACATGCAGTACATGAATCAGTGACAATATCAGTTAGTGTCAATACTTAAATACCGTATACTGGTTTATTTTTGTGGTGAAAAATTTTTCAGTGCTAATCTTGCATTTCTAAAATTTTGCGAATAGCTTGCAGACTGCACACGTGGCAATGGAGATGCAGAATTTTGTGGTAGATAATTTTTGCAACGAAGCAAAAAACGTGAAAATATTTCCCCACGAAAATAAACCGGTATATGGTAGTCAAAATTTACTTCAGTATCTTCAATACAGCTGCTTCCATAATGACTGCTAGGTTTATGAAAAATTCTTAAAATAAATGCTGTTTCATTTATAACAGTTGTTGGTAATACTCTAGGAAATTAAATCAAAAATCTAATCAAAAAATTCTGCCTGTATCACTCACTCGTGATGAAGGAGTGCATTCAATAAAGTGCTCTTTCCAGCTTTGTGACTTCCAAACACACCAATAGTGAGGACCTTATTCTTCAAGAGATACTCAGTTTCATTTAACCATTTCTCTTGAACAAGAATATTATTGCTATATTTTCTAATGATATTTAAAATAAGCTTTAAGTCTTATAATGAAAATATTCCTTTAATTGAATTAATTTACTTGGCAGCTTTCAGTGATGGTTGTAGGTAACTCAGCAGTGCTACTATGTTCAAAAACACCTATATAAAACATAACTTAATTGTTGTTGTTTCTTATTCACAATCACTACAGCTCTTGCACAGAAGTAATCAATAGGAGGGTGGAGCTAAATCATTGGCCATCTTGAATGGCAAGAAGTACACACATGCACAATGATAGTCCGGTCCCGGCTCCTCATTGCGCGGGGTGGGCATCCCCGCGCAATGAGGAGCCGGGACCAGACTAACACAATGATTGGAAATATAGAAACAAACTCAGATTTTTGCTAATTTAGCTCCACCCTCCCGTTAATAGCTTCCCTGAAACCCTAATCTACCTAAAAGCCGGGATGGTATGTATTTCCTTTGATTCTTAAAAGTACTAGAAAAACCAGTTTTGAAAAGTCTTGCAAATAAGCCATTGGGTTCAAATTCATCATCACTCTACATAAATATCAGAATTCAGAATAACAAACTTAACCTTAATTTTGAGGTTTCAACTTACATCAGGCTCTGATGCTGACAATTTGACATCCCTGTATTATTTCAATAATAATGATATATAATCCAATATTGTTTATTATTATTAAAATACGTAGTGGCTATTTTTACGGTCCCGTAATCTCATTGTATACAGCTATTTTTACGGCAGGGAATATAGAAATGAAGTGATGTATAAAGATGACAATCAGCATCAACAAGGCATCAGGATCGTGGTGGCACAGTGGGGAAGGCACTGGGTTAGATACGGAAGGGCACTGGTTCGAATTCAGCTCAGACCATTCTTTTTTTATAATTTTGACTTTAACAAATTGATTTTTTTATCTTTCTACTTCGCTATGTTCCCTAATTATGTCAGGAGCCCTAGTTATGTTAGGAGTCCCCTACTTAGCTATTGTTTTTAGGGTTTAGGGGTTAGGGTGGCGGTTTTTTTTAGAGCGTCCCCAGTCATTTTATAAGCCCCCTAGTTATGTTAGGAGTCCCCAGGGTTGGTTTAGGGTTTAGTTTTTTTTTAATTTTATTTTAGAGTGTTTCCCAGGTTTTAAAATGAGTAAATCCATAGATAAATCATCCTGCCGTAAAAATAGCCACTGCCATTAAAATAATGAGGCAAAACTTCGAGCAAAACTAACCATGTATCATTCTCGTCATCTTCAATAGCCATCCCGACACCTACCTCGAGATCTTTTGGATCCAGTGCAATGGCCATTCTTAATGACTAACGCCACACCAAAATTGAGAAATATGTATGGAACGCCAAATGCGACAAAAATAATCACTGTTTATGTCTAGTCTATGCCAAGAACTGAGATCGAGTTGATTATCGATTTCTAGCTCATGCCATCATGATACCATGCGCACTGCCATTTGGGCCCCTCCCTTAGGCGTGGCTTTCGTTACTAGTAGGTGGGGCGTTGCTTAAAATGGATGACATAGAGAACGTGGTGTTTGACTTAGTAAAAGAAACAGTACAAGAGGTACTGCAATACTATTCTATGCCCGAAGCCTATGGAGAAGAGTATTCTATAAATCTCATTGATGTGATACAACAAGTCTTGGAAGTATATGTTCTAATTAATGGCTGTATAGATGGAGATGATGAAGTTTTGAATACTTTGAAGACTTTAGCACAGGCCATGATCAATGAAGAAGAAAGCAAAATTGTTATTCGAAGGAAGGGCAGGCCTGAAATATTGATCGATAAAGATCAACTGAGGTATCTTGTGGAGCAAGGTTTCTCAGTCAAACACATAAGCCTAATGTTCAATTGCTCTAGAAGGACGATTGAAAGGAGGATGGCTGAGTTTGAAATTTCTTTACACAAGTATTCTTTACTCAGTGATGATTACCTAGATGGGATTACTCGTGAGATAGTAGCGTTATTTCCAAGATGTGGAGAGAATTTGCTGATTGGTCGCCTCCGATCTAGTGGTATTGTAATTCAAAGAGAAAGAGTCAGGGAATCATTACGGAGAGTTGATCCAACTGGTGTCATGGCTCGGTGTAGAGGTCGGTTGCATCGTCGGCAGTATAGTGTTCCTTCTGCTAATGCTCTTTGGCATATAGATGGATATCACAAGCTGATTCGATGGGGTTATGTCATACACGGGGGCATTGATGGCTTTAGTAGATTAATCACATTTCTAAACGTTTCTACTAATAACCTTTCAAATACAGTCCTTCATCATTTTTTGAAAGGTGTGGAAGAATTTGGACTTCCTTTACGAATCAGGACAGATCGAGGAGGAGAAAATGTAGCTGTGGCGTCATACATGATGAATCATCCGAGTCGTGGACCAGATTCAGGTTGTGTCATAACTGGG